GCTGCCTCGAACTGCGCAGGTTTGATCCCCGATTGGACTTGGTCTATGACGGGTTCGATTGTCAGGACAAAGTATGGGATCCGACAAAAATTTAAGTTGTAGCAATGAAGGCCGAATTCCCAAGACCTAGCAAAAACATTGGACCATGGTAACGAGGAGAGGTGGAAAGGTTGATACAACATACTCTTCTATCGCCAAATCCTTGGTTTCTTCGGGGACATTAATTAATTCTTGATGGATATTAACTATTAAAGTTACTTTACTTAAAATAAATAAAATGCTCCTAATGTTTTTATTAATAATTTAAATAATTTAATTTATAATTTTTTAATAAAAGTTAAGCTTTGTGAATCTAAATTATATAATATATGAATTAAGTAAATTATAAGATAAAAAAAAATTATTACTCATTATGTAATTTAAAATCAATTTTTTTTCTTTGCTTGTATTTTTTTCTTTATTTAATCTTTATTCTTTTCCATCCCCACATTTAAAAAAAAAAATTCTAACGCTATAACCTATATTAAGCTATATATTAATCCAAAGGTTGATAATTTATAAATAAGCAAGTTTCTTTTTATAAATTAGATTCAAAATATAAATCTTTAGATAGTAAATAAATTAATTTTTTTAAATGTACTAGATAAATGTGAAGGATCTACTATTAAATCAATTTAAAAAATTAATTTCAAATAAGTAAAAATTAATTTAAAAACACTCTAATCACCCAAACAAAAGAATATTAAGCTATGTATTTGACATCAATTTTTTTTTCCTACATAGAAGATATTCAAATATTTTAAATAAAAATACAGTACATAGAAGATAAAATTGGGTGTGATTATCACGCAGAAAATAAATTTATGGTTTCACAAACAATGTTTTGTTTTATAAAAATGGTTAGATATGGTGTTTAAAAACATTCATTTATAAATTAATATTTAATTTATTAAATATTAAATATTATAATTATTTTAGTAATTATAATTATTCATTATTTTGTAATCATCAAATTAAATGAAATTATTATTTTTAAAAATAAAATTCAAAAAATTATATGGTTGTAATATTTTCTCACGTGACAAGAAGTACCAATGCCTGAGAAAACCAAAAAAAAGTTGGGATATGTGCTGCCTAACTACACAACAGATACAGCCCTGCCACCAGCCACCAACTATGCCATCATGTGGTTGCCAGTGCCACATCTTCAAATATCAAGTTCAAAAATACAAACTCCCAAAAAAGGTTAAATGCCCAGTTGGTCCCTCAACTTGCAGTTTTGGATCAAGTTTGTCCCTAAAATTAAAAAATTATTAAAATTATCTTTAAATTTTATTTTCTTGTTATCAACTTGGTCCTTCCATTAGTTAAATGCTGACATGAACCGTTAAATCATTCAAACATTCAATTTTTAAAATTTCAAGTTCAGAGATGAAATTGGGTATTTAACCCAAAAAAAAATATATTTTAAGAAAAAAATATAACTATTTTTTTAAAAAAAAATGTTGTACTATTTAAAGTGTATAATTTAAATTATTAAATAAAAACAAATTCTTTGAAATTAAAAGTCATGTTCTTTATTTAATAATTTTTATTTTACAATTCAATATACTTTAAATTATAAAAAATCTTTTCAAATTACTCTCTTTATCTTCATTAAAAAAAAAAAAAAGGCAATTAGACATATTAACTCTTTTTAGTAAACTTGAAAATAATGGCTTTTACAATTTCTACTTTTCCTTTACTGTCCTCCTTCTTTTTTTTTCTCTTTTTTTTTTTTTCATATGGGCAGCTCATTTTTATTAGTAAATTTTTTTCTT